TGTCATTGAATGAGCTAACACATCCAGAGGGGCCAAAAACAGATTGGACTCATGCCCACTTTCGGAGAGTAGCTAAATGCATCGGAAACTACCGGTTCAGTAAGTTGTAGCTACAAAAACTAATCACATCAACCATTTGGCACCGAAAACCAAGTATTTAGAACAGTGGATGTTGAATGGTGGGACAAGTGTCTCTCATTTTGAACGCCCTACTCTTTGTCAGTCTACCTACTCGTAGAATTTTGTTGTTTGCACGAACTGGAAATCACAGCGCAGGGCTGACTTTATTGTCATGGAAAGTGACCGCAATAACATAAAATCGGGATACAATTGATATATCTCCTCCATTGATCCGCTATTCAACCTACAGCTACGGCTTTGAAGCGCTTTGAGGTTACTTGGCTTACCCGCTTTGGTTTTGTTCATACATTCACAGGTCAACAGCGGTATGCCCGATATAATTTGTACGCGGTCTCCAATCACTCAGGAAGTGTTTACGCCGGACATTACACGGCCATATGCAGACATCACTATCGGAACTCCTGGTATGACTACAATGACAGTCGGTGAGTTGATGAGCTTCCCTCAATTGTTTCCCCACTTGCAAAGAGTAGGCTTGTTAACGCTTGTTAACTTACATTGGCTAACACTGGGGCGTACCTCACGCATCTGTGCTAAGAACAAGTAATGGCGTTGATCATGTGTACGGCATTAAACTCCCTGACATAAATTTGCAAGTTTCTATCTTGTGGTCGTGAGCCTCCCTTCTAGCTGTCTTTTGGCTTGCTAAACAGTCCCCTCGCTAGTCTTCTGCATAACAAAGCTTGCCGTAGATTCCGCCTCTTGTGAGGTGGGAGCATTTGTATTTTTACAGTATATCGACGAATTCTTCTTAAGGTTTATACTCCAGAGGGCGGGGGGTTATGTGCAAGCTAAAAACACTCGATTCTGATTGGTCGCTATTCTGACTAATCGGAATGTGCCTTTGTATTGCTTGTAGCTGGCTCGCCATATGCCTGTCTAGTCAACAGAATGCTCAGTCTTTCTGTGGACAAATCTTCAACAAGATTCGACAGCCATCGATCAGGCTGTATAAGGATGAGAAATCAGTGCAGCAATACTGAGTTGTTCAACGCAAGAATATTGAGTCTAGCCTAAAAAACTAAAAGCTACTATCTGTAAGGTCTTCCCAGCACCTACGAATCGTACACACCGGTATCTCTATCTTGCTCAGGTTATCGTCTCAGTTCAGTCGTCATGACAGCCCACGTGTAATAGAGGGCAGCTACCACGAACATGACATACTCAGTGGACAGTTCTTTACAACCACCATTTTATTATGTTGAACACAGTCCGCCTCTTTACTAAGTTCGAGACCGAATGTCTTCTTCCGTATTGCGGTCTTTTCGTGGAAACGGCGTTTTTCATGGTGACGCTTCGAATGCTGAACGTGAACGAATATCCATATCAGTGACTCCTAACCGCCTTTTGTCTTGATCCTTCTTTTTCGAAAAGAGCGTTTTTCTTCGTGCCCTATGTCGGGGCGGCGGAACCAGAGAGGTTGGTCAACCCTTGACCTGGTGGAACGGTACAAAAGAGATTACGAGAAATCTGGGTGCTATCGGTGCGGGAAGGGGGGACCGCGGCTCCCCACAGCCTGGTTGAAGACGCTGCATGACATGGTCCCCAATCGATGTCAGTGGTATCCTTGTCGTCAGTTTCTATCCAGATTGCCGGGATGAGTGTCTGGAGGTGTGGGCATCTCGGAATGATTGTGGTGGGCTGGCACTAGGTATCTTCTCTGGATACTTTTATTCTTTTCTCCACAATAGGACTTTCAAATAAATCGTGGTTGTACGACAGCGAAGCATTAGTATTAGACACTAATATCGTGCCGTCGATGATTCTGATAATGATGGATATGTTTGAGACAGCCCTCTGATTAGGAGTTCATCAGTGTTTACGGGACACTCCTAGTATGTACATAGTGCATACAACACTTGGATGAAATTCGATGCATTTTGTTCCACATTGTGGCAGAGACAACCAAATCCTTGATCGAAAGTGTTGAATAACGGAAACAAATTAAGAATCTCTGGTAGGTTTCCTCTCAACTGCCGGTAGACTTCGCTTCGAGTGGAACCGACAATAAGCGAATTGGGAAGGATCTAGCAATCCTAAATTCTTGAACATTCGTCCCAACAGAACGTCATCAGCAGACCCTGGGAGATAGGAAGCACAAGCAATTGAGTGGAACTCACTGGTGCTTCCTAGCGCTCTGTAGGCATAGGCACTTTCTCTATGCACCAGTGATGGAGCTTCACCACATCTTCTGAAGAGAGTGGTCAGGCTGAATGTGGCGGAATGCGGATGAAGTAATGTGAAAGTCACCACATCTTCTGAAGAGAGTGGCGGAATGCGGATGAAGTAATGTGAAAGCGGGTCGCTGGTTGCACCTGTTCATCTCTTGATTCTGTTATTATCACAATTTATCCGGCTGTTTGATGGTCATCGATGCGAAATAGACTACATTGTTGATTAGCTCTAACTAGAGCAGAACTCCCCATTTGTGTGGCCCAATCAGAATAATCGTATATGAACAAGGTGAATGCTGTTCAAATTATTAGGATGCAGATACACATCAACTAATTGGATTTCTGATTACTGACAAACAAAATTTCATCTGGAGAGCCACCGTTGGATCTCGTTGATCTATACTGTCTTCGAAACCGCCCTCCTCCAGCACCGCATCGACTGGGAGGCAGTGCCGATTTCAGTTCACATGAGAAACTGGTGCGATCTCACACTTAAGGTCCAGACCACAGCTGAGAGTCCCTGCGCGGATTCCGGATCCTTGCGCTGACTGGCTTATGTCTGGTCGAAGCGTAGTGTTTAGTGGCCGAATCCTAATATTCACATTGGCCGCAGCTTAGCGTGGCTTTCGGAAGCGAAATTCCGAGGAGTCATGAGTAGAGTTACACTTGGAGCTGTGTAACTATATGGGGGTTAAATATTATCAAAAACAACCTAGAGAACAGGTTTTTTTCACCCGGAATGACCAACTTGATTATCGGTGATAGGAACTCGTGTCAAACTGGTACGGTTATGGTCTCAGATAAGTGACAGGATTCTCTACGTGGCTACTGTCCAACACTCCAACTCGATGGCGTTGTTTTCAACACCTTTTTGGAGCATGAATACTTAAGTTGCATGCACTCCGACATCTCTCCATCCGTCACAATCTAATAGCACCGATATAGTATGTAGCTCCTCGTCTACTTCACGGACGTTGCGAGACAGTATGGGAGAATGCGTCATGTGGTCGGTAGTCATCGGTTTCCTCGTAATACACGGTGTTACCCGGTGTTTTATCTCATGTTCACGATGGTCACGAATAAGTTTCTTAGAGAGATTCTCCAACCCGCAGACCAAAACTGTTGAGCGTGCATTTCGCGTTGTGATAAGTAAATATGTTATGGAACTGTGGTCACCTGTATTACTGTGTAGACAAAACAAATTGGTCGAAAAAAGACGGGGTTCGTCGAGTAGAGTTGCAGCTGTGATCAGCTGCTACTGGTGATCATTCGGCTTCGAAACCACGCCTTTTTCACCCAGAGGGGGGGGGGGGTGAACTTATTCATACCCGCACTCATTAAATAATAATAATAATTGTTCAGCTGTAATAGCCTTCCGGTACCTAGATACCGTGCTACCTGAAGGAACCACGAGGGCTGAGATACCGTGAGGCTGTCCAAGCCTAGACAGGAGCAGTCTGGATGCAGAAGTGGACTCAAATCAAAGACCTCCGGTCACTATATTAGCTCTTTAGTCGCGGAGAAAACTCGAGCTCCCACCCGCTTCTAGTAAGCAGTTGTAGATATCCCTATTCACACTGACCTATCACGACATCCGACCCTGAAAATATCCGGTCCATGTGGTCAAGTGAAAACCGCGTTGCTGTATCACCCGTCGTCTGGCAGGGTCACAATATATCGTTCAGCTGTAGCACCCTTTCGGTGCATAGCTGCCATGCCACCCGAAGGTGGTACGAGGGCTGGGATACTGCCGGGTTGCCCAAGCCTAGACAGGGGAAGTCGAGAGTAAGAGGTCGGTCAGTAACTTCGCGCCCTAACCACTTGGACGATCTCGCCCCCCAGGGTCATGTTGGCCTAGTTCTACTTAACAGGCGAATCCGAAAACAGATAGCAGCTCGCGGGTTGGTAAATAATCCATTCGTATGCGACGAGCATACCAAAACCTCTAAACTTATACGGCTGCCCGAATCGTGGGCGATCTGCATGAGGAATGACATACCCAGCTTTGCACAGTTTTTGTTGTCTTGGTTGTGCGCATGAATCCGGGGGTTTGTGCAAACACAATGTGATTAATCAATTGGAAAATGTGGTTAACGTAGAAATCTGTATCAATTTGAGCCAGTCAACCGTATATGTATACTATTCTGATACTACCATATCACTGTACCAGCCAATTGTCCTACCAATTCTCACCGCATGTGTAAACACGAATGTAGAACACCTATGAAGAGAGCTTACTCCAACTTGAAAGCGCATCACACTATTCCTCTGCGTGTTGCCTAACCTTAAGTGTTTCGTGATCATGTGAACTGCCTCGTGAATCACGTGGACGTTCGAGGTAGCTACTCGGTCCGGTGGCACGAAAAGCTCGGCTAGCTTTGTTGTGGTCATTTGGTCCGTTCATGTGATAGTCATGTTAGGAGCGCTTCGACGATGCACCAGTACGACGAACCTTTGGCTTCGGTTTTCGGTCAAACACAGGATTCGTTGTCGAAATCATTTTGCGAATTCTTCTATCTGCAGAGGTTTCTCTTGGATGCGTTTGAATGCTCCATTTTTTTTAAGGAGCACCTTTTGAGCGTTTTTTTGAGTCGACCGAAAGAGTGGTGGATTGTATAATTGATCGTTTGGATTTGTTCCACAGCTAAAATGTGTTCGATCTGTCTTTGGCTCCTTGGTTTCAGTGTGTTTGACTTTTATTGTTCATAGGGCTTCAGCGTTTAGACTTGGTCCTCCGCCTTGGGTGATTCGCTGCTTCGCAAACTATGTGCGAATTGAAAGGAAACCAAGTTAAACTTGCTTTAGTAAACTTGTGGCGAAATTCGGGTCTGAGCATTAAAGTCATTCAATGTTGGGAAGAGGCCAACAACTGGTTTTCAGATGTAACAAAAACACTTGCGCTGTGCTGTTTTTAAACACGTGAAGTCGGACAGGATATCTCTGCTGGGGAGTGAGCATATATCTGGTCGTCTGACTACCTTAGTTAAGGCCTCTCGAGATTTTGTCATGCCTGATATGCGCACTTTTATATCACGGAACCGATGAACACCAAAAATGTCTGCTACTCCTCTAGTGCGTCCTCTCAACCCAGGTTTCTGCAATTTTCCTCATTATGTCACCCAATTAAATTCTTTCCTTTGAGGTCATTACGTCAACATGTTCATCTCTATTGTATGTCCTGTATAAACTTCCCAGGACGCGGCGACCACCCTGGACCATTCCATCAACGACCTTTGTCGTCGCTTAGTTCGGGAAATGATGTATCGTTCATCCAGCTTGTCGGTAGATTGATACAGTTTAGGGTGCTGTGTTCTTCGCCTTCAGAAAACATCTTCTCCCCAGTTCATTTCGCTTTAAGCTTTTTTGTTTCACGGCAGTTCCAACTGATTGTCATTCACACCATTTATGTCCATAAAACTAACGAGGGTTTCCTCTGGAATATTTTATGTTTCCTACTTCTGCATTCCAGCAAATTTCTGCTGCAAATGGATTTTGATTTTAAGCACTGTAGCGAACCAATCAGGTCTGTGTATTTGTCTGCCTGAACCGTATTTCAAACACGCACCATAATCGACTGGCTAATGTGTACTTGTGGCCTCATCTGCATTACTAGCTAGTGTCTTCCTTGTTCTTCTTTTTTAACCGTTTAGCGTGTGTCATAGAGCTGCAACTACCTGAACTTTTTTTAGACTGTCAGCACTGAAGCATCACCCGATTCATCTCAATTTTCCCAAGTACTAATAATCATACACCAAATCACAGTCATCGACAGTGATGTAAAACTTAGCGGGGCTTGCGAACATTTGTCTTCCCTCAATAGTAGAGGTCCACCGTCTGCATCACATGTATGCGCTCGTTGTCTCGACTACCTTAAGCCTAGTGTTCCAACAGATAACAATTTATTGACAGAGTGAGAAAGTCTGCATACCCACCTTAAAGGAGTCCAACTGCAGCTCTCGAACGATTCCACAAAAGGAGTAGTTCCAATGCACTTGTTATCTCGACTAGCCTAAGCCTCGTGTTCCAACAGATAGCGATTTATTGACAAGTGAGAAAGGCTGCATGCCCACCTTAAAGGAGTCCAACTGCAGCCCTCGAACGATTCCACAAAAGTAGTAGTTTCCATGACCCCACTATCGCGATACCACGCACTCATATGGCCTTTGTAGCAGAATAAGCTCGAATTAACTGCCATGACTCCTCTGTCACGATACTACGCACTCATATGGCCTTTGTAGCAGAATAAGCTCGAATTAACTGGGGGATATCTATGACGTAACGGTCTAATAAGGTATACATATGCCAGTGAGCGGGAGTAGGTGAGGATATTGTCATAACGAATCTCGGTATTTCAAGGACCATTCCAGATACAGTCCAGAGCACAGGTGTATACGTCTGCCCTGTCTGGTCCTGTGACTGTATTTTTTGTTTCTTTGACCTATGGTACGAGTTGATCTCAGTCACCTAGCTTCGGTCGTGAACCGAGTCGAGGTGCATCGAAGGTGTATTTATCGCTTATTTGTTTTCTCGTGCTTTCCGTTTTTTTTATTCAGTGAACAATTAATCGATGGAAAATGCACATCCATTGACCCACTATCCATGTCGTGGTCTGTGTGCTTAGCAATTTCCACAGTAAATAAAATATCAGCACGGAAGTTCCCTTAATAAAACCTTCATGATCGTTGATGCGAATGGCCGTATTTTTCCCAAAAATGCATCGCTTTGGCATGACAATAAATGGCGATGCACGGTCAGGTGACGCGGTTAGGAAAGTATGATTGGCAATATAATGGGATCAGCAAGTTAAAAGTACGGATTGTATAGCATGACAAGATCACGACTTCAGAAACTCGCTGCGTGCCACAGTATGCCCTAGGCGCCATCGCTACCTATGCCGAGTTAGCAGCACGCTACATATCCTGTTCAAGTAGCCAAAATGCAATGAGCCTTTAGACGCTGTCAGCAGTGTTCTCTGAGTGCGGTGACTGAAGCCATGCTTTTGCTACTAATCACCATTGTTGGCAGGCCGACACTCAACTAATCCACAAGCCGAACCCAAGTGAATGATAGGCTCAAAAGATGATACCATAACAACTTCGTGTGACGGCCAACCGAGTAACCTGTTAAACGTGGAGTCACCGTTACCTCATAAGACCACTGAGCTGACCATTGACCCAATGTGAGGTTGGTTATATTATCCATCTGTTTTATAGTTTAAAATGGCGGGTGGCTATCGTCCTCATAGGATAAAGTGTTTTGAAAACTTCGTGAGCCATAAATGACAACTGGAGAATTCGCGATAAACACGAGCAAGAAAGAACTAAAAATCCTAAACAGCTTTGTTGGGGGGTGCTGTGTACGCACCCCAGTGTACTCGCCCTTCTGTAAAAATGCAATGAATCTCCTCTTGACATTTCTAAAACTACGATATGGACCTGCTTTCAGAGTCAACTGAAGCATGTTCAAAACACTGCGTCAGATCTCCAGATAACTGTGTTGCCACCCTAAGCGGCCCTTCCCTAACCCTCTTAGTATTGTCCACAGTATGCACTAAAATGCAACTTTTGTGATCTGCATGGCTCCAAACGACCTGTGCCGCAGATGTGCAAACTGCTTATTGAGTCTTGTTAATGAATACATTCTCTGTCAACGTATTTAAGGCTTCTTGGATATTATCCGTTGCTCTATGACCCCTCAATGAAACGCGTGCAAACACACGGGAGCAGTAGTCCTAATTCGTATTTTATATGTTCGTTACTTGGATTCTTTCAGTAGTGTAAAATGGACACTTAGTTCGGAAAAAATGTTAGCAACATCGGCCGTAGGCAGTTGTCAATCGCTGGTATGCACATGGAAGTTCCTACGAAGTTTTGAATCCATATCTGGTTTTGAGGTGTGCTTAATTTTTACTGAAGGTCCTTCTTGACCTCAATGTGCCGCGAAACTTGCCGGTTTCTATCAGTGACCCTGAGGTATGCTAAATCACGTTAATCAAGTCCTTCAATCGATCACTCCGCTCCATTTTGTTGCTCACTCTCTTCGTGCCATCCAACTGCATCTAACCGGTTGGCCTTATGCCATAGCTAATCACTGCCAACAAATATGGGCTTACATTATTGGTAGTATATTTGAAATGTTAAATTTTTCACACTATGATTCTTCCATTACCCTAGCGTTCGCCCAACAAGCACCCAAAGTGTCGTCTCTGCCGAGGGCTATGTCCTATTCTACGAACTAATCGACTGAATGGATCTTACGGTAGAAGCTTGTTACCTTCATCATCCTCCTATGGGTTCCCCCCTCCTCCCGTTTGGCCAAGCTAAGATCAATATGGAGTGTGTTGGCTACAAATCGCCTGCACGAGGTGCTTATATTCGTGTGCGTTTTGGATCGGTATACAGGAAGATTCCCCAAACAGCATTTCCTCATATTTCTTGAAGATCAGTCCGCTTTCAGGCAGTCTTCAATACCGTCCCACAGATTCATTTTGAACAACAACCCTTTAACGTGCGTTTCATGAGAACCGGCCACCATTCCAACCTAATTCCCCACCTTCCGTGTGGTTCATGTAGATTTCTCCCAACTCGTCCAGCAGATTTCATTCACTACACTTCTCCAAACTACTTTCAACCTACCCTATCCGCACTCGCGGCGTAGAAAAATAAACAGATGACACTGAGTTTTCATGTCTTCCAATCGAACTGAATAGATAAGAAAAAACAGTTCATTACCACAGCGCCGTCTGCGGTCCATGAATTTATCTGCTTGCCTGTCTAACTAATTGTCCGTTATTTTCCAAGGCTGTGATGGAGAAAATTTAGCCTTCTTTTTGCTTCCAATCTGTCCCTCATCCTCTGTATGAGTGTGTGTGATTTCTCCGCTTGTATTGGGTCTGGATGCGTATCCCTTGGTGGTGTTTGTACATGGAAGTTTATCATCTTAGAGTGAGCATGTCATAATGGCGTTGGCTCCCCACACGCTTCATCACTCCTCAAACTGTACACAAACATACATCAGTTATTTTTTCTGCATCTTTCCCATTTATTGAACTGCCTTCCACTCCACTCTCAACCTAGATTATTTGCTGAACACGTATTTTTGTCAGAGTTACTTCTGGTTCACGCGTCACAACGGTCATGTCGACCAATAGCGCCCAACTAGATGCCACGATTCTTGCGTGGCTTAGTCTGTTGTCGTTGACTCCACAACGGTCGGTAGACGACAGCATGTCACTTCCGATTTGAAATCACAAGACTGCCCAGAAGCTGACCTCGGTTTTCTAGCGTGATCCGGTAATGAATATTCAACAGATGCATTCACAGATAATACACAGTCTCTATCGGTCTTGGTACCACTGTTTTCACTCTCCGTTTGGTATGCCGACGAAGATACCGCAATGTTATCCAATATGCTGTGCGTATCCTGGACATACTTGTTTGACGGAGCGATTTACGCAAGGCAAAACGAAAAAAGCACAACACCTGTAAGACAGATGCACTCCGTATGACGACCTGGTTCAGTGGAGAAAGTGAGCAGTTTATTGGCGGTATGGTTGAAATACTATGGTGCGCCTATGCAATGCTATTGTTTCATCATGTAGATCATTTCATATGGTCTGGTGCCTCAGTCTGAGGTACTCAACTGCGGTTTCGTGAGGATCCGGTTGAAATGGAGCTCTGTACTGCCTTCTTCTTGCTTAAGGGAAAGCCCCAAAACCTCCTGATTGTCTGGACTTTGGGTCGATGCCAACACATCCATGTATGGCTCGTAGCCGGCTCCTCTCAGCGGCCTATTTATTCCGTGGGGCTTGCTGCCAAGCATAGCCAAACTACACAGGGTTCGTCAAGGCTACTACCCAGATCGATCTCACTAAAAACCTCCGACGCGTGGAGTCGATAAATGCCTGTTATTCATTAGTGTCAGTGTGGCTGGCACACCTCAAACAACCAGTTTCGGATAGGTAAACTGGTCCGATATCCCAAATTCCTTTTTCCAATCATACTATCTGTCATACAGGCATCTCATGGGGAAGAACGATTACCTCAAGGGAAGTGATGCTGTAGGACTGATGCCCGTTGATAAGTCTGCTAATAGTCAATAACAAAACCTTTGGGATTTCAGCTGTTTGTGTAATGGACACAACGGGACGCAGTAATTTCGCCTTGGTTCCGTTGGCATTCTCATAAGCACTGAACTGGGGCTGCTCATTGGGACATAACGCGTGAGCATAGCAGTTTAGTCTTCACCTACTAGCTGGGAGATCGTGGGTTCGAATCGCTCATGATTCTATATGAGTTGTTTTTACTTTAGGAACCAACCAATGCATGACCACATGAACCAAACTGTGGCTACTGAAGGATGAGTGGCGCTGGGTTGGTTAGCTGCTCACGGCCGAACAAGACAGTACTCAGCTACTCACCTGAAGTCCCTCGGTTCGAGTCTCCATGGAAGTTCATGAGATGCTTGTCGCTAATTATTGCCCATAAAGTTGAAACAGCTGTGTAGTGTTTCTCAGCTTTTCGGTGCAGAACCGCTTCACTTAGAATGAAATCAGGATGGTATACGAGGTCTTGTGCTTCCTCAGCACTTTTACAAACTGTATACTAACGATGTTTTGATATAGAAAATACAACAAGCCGGTTTAATCTCTTTGGAGCTTCTAGATGCCGATGTAGTGTGTGAGATAGAACAGAAGCTGCGTTGCTTATTACCAGGTGTCTATTCGCCTCAGTCAAGCGCAGGCAGCCACCATGCTGATCTAGGACATCTGCAGGCACACCTCACAAGAACCAGACGCGACCAGACGTTACTGTAACGACCGAGGATATCAGGACGATGATACGTACCCGTACAACAGGTTTGGATACGGATCTGCTGCTCGCCTGGACGTCCAAATCAAAATGATTCACATGTTAAAAGACAACGGACTGCTTTGGGTTGATAGTTTACCTGCAAGTCTTATGAGACATCCAACTCAAAGGCTTAAGAACGAAACAATGCGATGCAACAACAGGGTGTTAGACTTGGGATTTTTGAAAGTGGATTCGCAACCTAAGAACAGTTTAAACATCATTTGCCTGGCCAGAGCACCCAAGGTGTCATATGTAAAGTTTCAGACTACTAGCTAGATTCACCTGCACAGCACCGACTGATAAATGCTGTGGGGTTAATCGACCACACGTGGGAAATTGTTCTTGCCATTTCATTGTGCTGATAAACTTTTTCCTCGCAAAATCACGTATTTCGATGCGATGAGAAAAGGCAAACAAAGTGCACTAATAGCTCAGGAGTGGTAGACGGGGAAGGCATGTGAATCGCCCGTAAGACTTCAAAGCTAGTTGTCTCTCCATTTGGACAAATGATATTACCCAAACATTTGAACCGAGGGACCGAAAGTATTGGCATAAAAAATCATTACTGTGTCACTCAATCATGAGGAAAGTCTGGTTTTGGCATTCTGACCAATGAGATTCGATCAAACGGAAACACTGACGTTGGCAGTTTGCGTTCTTTCAACGTTCAGTTTCTAGCCTATATCAACGCTGTTTATCGTAAACAGAGATCCTTCCGCTGATGACAGAGCTCGACGGCACAAATCCTAAAATGCTGTTGGTTAATAGCTGTCGGGTGGAGCAGTGTTTACTGTCTCGCCATCTCTGCAACACTGCACTCAACCATTGAAATGTGAGCTTTCTTCGATCGCTCATGCAGTAAAATCATGACAGTTTAGGAGGTTCTTTCGAAGAAAGTCTTGCTATTGATCAACAATGGGCCTACAAGTGATACACCAGGTCAGCGTTTGCTGAGCATTACTCAAGTACTTGTAATGACCGTGCGACCAATGCTTTAATTTTAGGTATAACACGAACTTCTCACGTTTAAGTCCTACCAATGCACATACTTTGTTTTGATTTCTATGCGTTCGAGTGAGAGTAGGGCACATGTTGACCGGACTTCTAACTTTGATACCCAGAACTCATTGTCAGAATTCGGAAGTGTGAGGCCGAACCACTGAATTGTTTTTCGTCGGAACTAGTTGCGGGATAAGTTGTTTAGTTTTTCGAGAATGTTCCGTCACATGTGATGACATCATCTTAACACCTCAGACGCCGTTGCGCTCTGTTTGACAGTCTCGTCAGAAGGAATACACGAATGTTGAGACTTAATTATTAAGTACTTGTTTCTGGGAAAGCCATCCAGACGGTGGGTTGGTATTCCCACAAGGAAACTGCTTTCTGACTACACTGACCACACACTGTTCACAAACCGGCACATGTCCAAGCGGTCTCCAAAAGGAGATGGTTTTAACATTAGCCTCATTTTGGTAGATCTGATGAACAGACTTTGGACGTCGCTGAACACGAAGCAGTATGCTCCATTTCACCGAGTCGGCTTTCATTACAACTCGAACTCATGCAGATCTGTGTATAGAAAGAAAGTATGGGGGAAATGGGGCAGCCCACAGATCAGCATTGACACAAATAACATGGCTGCGGCAAACAGTAGATAAAGGCGGATGAAATCTTGTCAGTCGAGTTACAGCATAAACACGAACATACTGACTAGTATTAACAGACCGTAGCAATTCGGAGGGCTGTGAGGGACAGCTGTGACCGGTATCGTAGTAGTCTCTGGTATGTTGACGCATTTGACGGATTAAACAAACCGGCACACATGTGAAACTGAGGACGAAAAAATTCTGGAAGCCGTCAGACGAACAGGGTTACAGACTAAGGGTGGTCAGTGTGTACAAACGACGCCGTGAAAGGTCACAAATTCAGGTGTGATACCCAACGTGCGCCGTCACATCTCTATTGTGTACAGACTGCACTGGAGTCAGACAAACCGGTGTTACAGGCTAAGGGTGGTCAGTGTGTACACACGACGCCGTGAAAGGTCGCCAATTCAAGTGTGATCCCCAACGTGTGCCGTCACATCTCTTTTGTGAACAGACTGCACTGGAGTCAGACAAACCGGTCAGCTGGGCCTCGTGTACCATTTGGAATGACCTTGGACACGTCCTGAGGCAACCTCGGACGCGCCTCTGGCTGGCTGAAACCCACACTGTCCGTCCACATTCGGTTCCAGGTTTGATCAGCTTCCCCCGACAGGTACACTCAGTCATAATGGTGATAGGTGTTGAAAGCACATACGTGGTGCCGGTTGCCATGACTGAGGCGCTAGCAACCACTCGAATCTTCGTTAGTTCCAAGTGTTAGTCGGAGTTCGTATTAACTGAGATAAGGGAACAGGTTTACGGGAACATCAGACTAATTAACAGTAGCGTGAGATAATGTTCTTGTAACGAATCGAATCCCTTTACTGTCTTCAGCAAGTGACGCTAAAGTGATATACGTGTTGGATTTAATTTGACTGTCACCAGTCACTGGTGAGTACGCATTGGTTAAGTGAACAAATGGCTAGATCCCAGACGTTCTTACACATACGCCTGGTTGGTAAGCCATGCTGCTATGATAATCAACGGCAGCTTGACGTTCTTCGAGTTTAACAATACCACTTCCAGTAACCAGTCTTCCCGGCTAATCCCTGACCGACTTCTTCGATGTGCTCAGCAATATAGGACACGGAGGAATTGTTCTGAACTGTGGTTACAACTCCATGTGACACGCCAACTAAAGTATATGCTCAGTTGTGTA